ATAATAATAATAATAATACATAATAACACCAACAACTCAGGTGCTCTTCTAGTTACACACTTTCAGCTTGAGGATTTCCTATATAGAACCAAAACATTCTACCTGCCACAAGAGACTTTCAGTGGCCACTTGTATTGTATCAAAGGAAATTATGAAAACTTCTTGGGTTATCTTTTACTTGCCACATACCAGGCACTGCACTAAGCATTTACATTCATTATTTCATTTAACCTTCATTATCAGACAAATCTAATTAGAAACTCTTAAACTGTCCAAAGTCATATACCTGGGGCCCGGGATTTAGCTCAGTGGTTCCGGCACCTGCTTTGCAAGCGCAGGGACCCGAGTTTGATCCCTGGTACCAAAAAAACCAAAACAAAACAAAAAGTCATATACCTAATGAGTACCAAAAACGATTAATACACAAATATGTGCTTTTTTAGGGCCAGGAATTTAGCTTAGTAGTTCCACAGCCTGCCTTGCAAGCACAAGGACCCGCGTTTTATTCCTGGTGCCAAAAAAACAAAACAAAAATATATATATGTGTTTTTTAATATTCTGCTATAACTACTTACAAAAATTTCCATAAAAGCCAAATGAGATTTCAGAGATGAGTGAATATTTTAATAAAGGGCTCTTATGCAACCCTGTCATTTTTTGTATTTACCTTTCCCCATCACTTTAGGAAACTGACTTGGTTTTTATAACTTTCAAAATTAAATGTTTTTTTCAGGATTTAATTTCCTTTTCATATTAAATCTTAACTGCAAATAGATTCTCTCACAAATACAGATGAGAAAGATCCATGCTTTCAATAGAAAGCAAAGACTATCTTTGGCTTTTCAATGTTTAAGCCTCTAAGTATAGCAGAGCATTTAATGCAATAAAGATGCCCAATAGCACAAATACAGGCTAAATTTCTCTGTGATATAACTGGTAAGCAGACTAGTATCTTCTGAATTGCTTCAATAAACCCAGCTGGTAATATGAGAGACTGGGGATACTAGTCATCTTCCCATCTCACAGTTGGCCTTGCTTCATGTTACACCATTATACTCCATCAAATACCAACTCCCAAAAAACAGCTACAGGATTATTACATCAACAACTTACTTCATTCTGCTATTCTAAAATATTATAGTACTAGGCATGTTCCTCTTCAGACACAGGAGAGGTGGCTTTCTTTGGTGTGTTTACATTTCTTGGTTCTGCTGAAGACCCAGCAGTTGTATTGCTTTTGGAAAGAATGATTTAACAGATATGAAGGGAACAAACAGGAGCTACAAAAAACAAGAGAAGAAACTATGTAAATGTTATACAAGAAGTATTGAATGCGGTGCTACATTTATAAAAGATTCTAATTAGTGAGCTATTAAAATATGTTTCCACAAGGTGTAAGAAAACTATAAAGCTAAAACTCTTAGGTCCTTTGATACAATGAATAAAATATCCTCACTCAATAAAATAAGAAACTATGGCATGAATAGGAAAATGTCCATCGCTGAAGACTTGATGAGTCACTGGAGGGACCATCACCAGTCGCAGACTTATAACTTAAATTGAAGAGGGGAATCTTGTTTAAAATGCCAATCAGCTAGGAAGAAGTCCTTTTAAATGATTAATAACTGAGATCACAAAAATAAACATAAAGGTAAAAAGAGAATACAGTATAAAAACACAATCCAAGTTAGCAGAATTTTTTTCTTGGCTTTTTGAGACTGTGTCTTGCTATGTGGTTCCTGCTGGCCTTGAACTCACTGTGTAGCCCTGGAGGGTCTTGAACTCACAGTGATCCTCCAGCCTCAGCCTCCACAGAGCTGGAGTTACAGAGACATGTGCCACCATGCCTGATTAAATTAGCTTTATTTAAGCAAATAAATACTGCTCAGAACTAACAAAAGACAACATAGAGCAGCATTTCCGAAACTCTGAGATAAAGGTGAGTTGCTGGGAGGAAGTTACTCTCCCGATAAGAAAATCTACACAGGATAATGGTCTTAACATTCTCAGTACAACAACAGCTCTTCTTAGACAACTGTCACATTAACTTTCTAGTTACTAGGCTCTCTAACAAGTTGTTATTAATTTTCTCTATTTCTGAATCTGAGAGTCTTTCTAGTCAATTATAACACTTTAAAAGGTCCTCCCATGAAAACACCTATGGAATTTATAGGGTACTTACTCTTTTTGCAGAATATTAGGCAATGCCTATACAATAAGGATTTACTAAACTGGATAGTCACATTGATCTCCCAACCCTCACTTTCCACATCAGCTCATCCCATCACTGACCTACAGAATTTAAGGTCCTAGTTCTCTACACCTCACCTGATGGTAACTTTGTGCCATTTTTTTTTTTTCGGGTTTCCATTTGTAGTAATGAAGCTTCCATCAATCAGCAAACATAACATAGACACAATTCTCATTTATCTTCTCAAATAGCTTATTGTGGGTTATATCCCAAGGACATCACAAGGCATCTTAAGTATATAAATGACTGGCAAACTTTGAGGCTTCATGGAAAACTTTGAGGACCAGCTGAAACAATGATTTGCTCATGAAATCAATATTGTTGATGTGGCAGTTGTCCATGTTCTCCTAAAAGAGAGAACAATTTGAACAATTTAGTAAGCCTCTACAATATCCTACAGTTCTACTTTAAACTCATGAAGCCTGCTGACTTCACATCACCACTTTCACCAATCTCACACTGATTACTTTCAAGTTAGGAAGGTGTTTTCATCAAAGCAGATATTGGAAAATGGTAGATACAAGCTCAATGGAAAACAAACTGAAATGTCTATTAGAAAACAAAATCAAAATTAAGACTTTTTATTATGCTGTTAAGAATAGCTTACCTATCTTGACATATGCTGGTTCTCTTTGAGTCTTCATCTTCCTATCTGAGTCCGGGAAAGTTAGTAAAACCTCCTGACCTAGGATTGTTGCCCAGTGATAGTGAGCTTTTCCCCTGGAGGATCCTCATGCCCCATCTCCACCTAGGGATCATCAAAGGGAATAGGTCACTAGCACTGTAGAGCAACAAGCCCATTCTCCCAAGGAAGATCTGGAAAAAGAGACCAAAAAAAAAAAAAAAAAGAAGGAATTAATTAATTAATTAAATTTAAAATCAGCTACACTGGCAAACTCTGTCCCAATGGGTAACTAGTAGTTGAGTTAAATCTTATCTAAACTTTTCCTTGTATGTATTGAAGGGTGGACACTTATTGTTATATTGACCTCTACAAGATAGGATTAAAAAAAATATATGGTGAATATTTAAATTTTTAACAATTTATTATAGTAAAAAGTGGATTACTATAATATTCCCCTCAAATTACTCCCCCTCACTTTGCACATACTCACTCCATCCTTCTTGCCACTTTCTGAAGAGGTTCTGAAAGTTCTCTTTACTAAGTATCTTTGCAAGGTGTGTTAAAAAATATGGTGAATGCTAAAGCTCAGTGCCACCCAACAGAATGGCAGGGTTGTAAAAATATGACCATGTGTCCTTATGCATCAGATCTGGTACCATGTGACTTCTGGCTCTTCCCTGAAGTCAAAATGACCATGAAAGGCAAATGTTTTAAATCAATTCAGGATATGGCACAGTAAAACTAAAGATCCTCACAAAAGAAGACTTCCATAATTAATTCAGAATGTGGCAAGAGTGACAGAATATAGAGCAAGACATGGTGATGCACACCTGTAATCTCAGAACTCAGGAGACTGATACAGGAGAATTGCTGGGAGCAAGATCAGTCTGGGCTACATAGTAAGTTTAAGACCAACCTGAACTACAAAGCAAGACCCTGTCTCAAAACACACACACACACACACACACACACACACACACACACACACACACACACAATTAACAATAAAAAAAGAATGATGGGATATGGGTGTCAAAGGTGATTAACAGTAAGCTTTTTGTCACTGTAATAAATTGTAATTTAAAAATCAACCCTGCTTTTTTATATTATACCTCATGCAATCAGCCTAGCAAAATGAAAATTCTTTATTTGTCCATTTTGTGCAATTTCTCTCATCTCTAAGAACAATGTAGAGCTGAATAATTACCCAAATTCCCAAACCATGTCTTTATTCTCTAGTCTTTATGAGCAATCATCCAGAACAGTGGTGGCAAATATGGCACATGTGCCACAGTGGGCTGTTTGTAACATTGAAAACGCTAAAAGGTTTGTCATCACTGATCTAGAATGCAGATTATTAATGCTCTTATGTTTTCACCAGAAAATACAATAGGGATCAAGAAATTAAAAGGCTAAACTGAGTGGAAGGAGAAGCCAGAGCTTTTCCAACAAAGACAGCCATGAAACCACTAAGAAAAGCTCCAATGTGGTCTTATCCTGAGTTCTGTAAGAACTGTCCTTCACATTACCCCTAGCTTCTTTTGAAAGAACTATTTTAAAAACTGAGCAAGCCATATCAATCAAAGTGCCTATCACCTACTTTGTAGAAGTTCCTTTTTTAAATCTGTGCTTTAAACAGTATTAAACTGGAATACTGCCAAAGTAACGACAACTGGTTTTTTTTTTTACTCAAGCTACATGGTACATTTCTTAAACAACTTGTGTAATAGGGTACTTACTATCAGAGTTCTAGGATGTTCAAAGAAACCAAAAATGACCACAAGCCTAGAGAACTCCAATTAGGAAAGTAGCTAACAACTCTATATAGAAAAACAAGGTACAAAAGGCTAGAGAACCAGGTGGGTATGGTGACACATGCCTGTAAGCCCAGCACTCTGGGAGGCTGAGGGAAGAGCATTTCAACTTTGAGCCCAGTCTGGATTATTAAAGGAAGGGAAGGGGAAAGGGTAAGGGAAAGGTAAGGGAGAAGAAAAGGCAAAGCAAGGTCAAGCTAGAGAAAGCTGTGTAGAAATTGATGAAGACTGGCTCATGTTCTACTTAAAAAACAAGCTTCAGAAAGTTAAAATCCTTAAAAGTCAAAGACAGAAGTCTAAGGACAAAAAGTTCTTCAAACTACCTGCTTCTCCCGGTGGCCTACAAGATTAGCTGGATCTTGTCCAAAATCTCAAAAGGAAAACTCTGCTGAATTTGTAGCTTCCCACAGCTGTATGCAGTCCAATTTTCACATGCTCAGAATGTCCTTGAGAAAAAAAAAAAAGATAAAGTTCAGTAAGCTACCAAAACTGTTTAAAAACCCTAATTGAGTACAGGATATATAAGATATAATCTGAAATATTAGACATAGATAGGTGTTTTCTGTCTCTACTGTCTAGCCTGTTTGGTCTCCCTGTCTATGGTCCTGAGATGACAAAGCACTAGATTAGGCATGTGAAGAAAAAGAACTATAGGAAAATACGAGTCAAACCTTGAGGGCTGACTAAATTTATAGCTAAAGGTCATCTATAATTGCTAAACATACTTTGACACAAGGTAGCAGAGCAACTGTCTTGACTATTTTTAATAATTGGCTATCAGCCTTTACTATAGGACAGAAGCTCAGTGAAGCAGATCTAAGCCCAATTTACAACCTTGTAAACACTCTGAAAGGCATGGTGTGGAAAGCACAAGGATGCTAAACTTGGAAACCTCACATAAATGTAGGGTTGCAGATTCCTCATTAGGGATACCAATTATAAAGACCTTAATATTAATATCAAATAAATTAAGGAGTATATAGGAGATAACTTATTCAACTCTATTCTATAAATAAGTTGTCTTGTAAAGTCAAATAGTGTTCTATGATATATATTCTCAATACGAGCAAAACAAGCTTTAAAATCTCTTGGCAATGTCCTTCCCCATCCTTACATAACCGAAGATTAGATACTGCACCCTTAAATACAGGTTTCTAATTAAAGAACTTCATACATACGTGTATGTATTTATTTACTGTGCTCCCTTCTGAAATCCCATTAATGAGAATGAACACTCCATGTAAGAGCAAATTTACCTAAAGTATCTTTTGGGATGTTTTTGTTTTGTTTTGCTCATTTGTTTTTGAGAAAGGGTCTCACTATGTAGCCCATGCTGGACGTGAACTCACAGAGATCCTCCTGCCTCAGCCTCCCAATTGCTGGGATTACAGGTATGCATCACCATGCTGGGCAAGAATTTTTAAATTAATCCAAATGCAAATTCATTTAGACTATCTACTTATAATATTTAAAAAGAAACAAATGTTATACTTTTCCCCCCTACTGATATTCTGACTCTTTCAAAAATTGTAGGTTATTGTGGTTTTTATGTCTAAACTACCTTGCAATTTTGTTATATTACCAATAAAGTATGGAGTATGGCTGCATTAATGTTAATGTCTTAGCCCTCCAGTTTTGTTCACTATTACAGTGATGAAATACTCAAAGAGCATTCCCTTTCCCTTAAGGGCGAATCAAAGTCCAGAGAAAGTGGTTACATTCTGCAAGTGATACAGAACTACAAATCTAGTGATTAATATTCATTGACAAGGATTTTAAGATTCCTCTGTCATCTTCCTTTATGCCAAGAACTTCTTAATGGGTTCATACTACTCATTAAAGATTATACACCACCATAATGATTTGTTCATTTCCACATTCTCCATGAGAGAGGAAATTTCTTGACAGAAATCATGTCTTTGGCTTTGTTACTTATTCCAATGTCTGGCGTAATATCTGTTGAATTAAAACAAGATCTACCGGGCCGGGGATTTAGCTCAGCAGTTTGGTGGCCTGCCTTGCAAGCGCAAAGACCTGAGTTCAATCCCCGGTACCAAAAAATAAAAAATAAATTAAAAAAAACAAAACAAGATCTATCTCAATTTTTTAAATGCTCATATTCCTACAGCAGCCCTTTTGACAACTGCCAGAGATTTTTTCAATCACAGAGATTCAAGCTAAGAATTAAAACGCAATTCCAAGATTCATGTTAGATGGTATCTTGCAGTCATCAACCCACCTAAAATCGAGTCATCTTTCCTCGAGTCAGGGTACAGAAACCAGCTCCAAAGTCATCCTTTTAAAACAAATTTCAATGATAGTTAGAAAGGTGTTTGGTGACACTGAATGATAATTTGATCAATAGCAATAAAGCATTTTATAAACCATCACATTTTCTCAAATTGGGGTTATAAGAATTCTGAGGATGTGTGGCTATATTCTCATGCAACTCCAAATTCTATGTGAGTGCGTAAAGCAGGTCTTTGAAAAAGATAACTTAAAATTGGAGAACATATTTATATTTCAAGCAACTTTCTTAAGTCAGCACCCCACAAAACATTCTTTAAGACCTCAAAGTTTTCTCTTTGAGATGCTTATTTCTGAAATACAGCTAGAGCTAGAAAATGCCACAGACCACATATATATGTACATATATTTCCCCTGGCTAGACAGGCAATACTAATACTGGAGGGGAGGAGGCGAGGCAAGCTTTTAGCAAATATGAATATTAATTAAAATGGGTTGTAAAAGAAGCCCAGCTCATTTATATGGTTCTTGTTGCTCCTGCTAGGGTGCATACATATACACTAAAACAAGTTCAAATTTTATGTGTTTTTCTCAATCTAGACATTTGTGTTTGTTTTATATAAAGGAAGGTAAGCTTGTTTTAGCTTGCCATGGTACCTCGTGAAAAAGGTGAAAGGAAAAGGATAAATAAACTACAGTATAAAATAAACAAGATCAAGACTTCCTTCTAAAGCTTGTATTTCTCCACTGTCATCTTGGCAAAAAGATTCCAAATTAAAACATATCTCTGATCTGGATTACCTGATAGTCATCTGTCCTTGGGCCAAAATACAGTAAAATGATACAAACAGCCAAAGTATCAAATTTATATCCCCAAGCCCTGGACTTTGAAAAGCTTAAACTTGTTAACTTAATAATCACCTAGTTGTTGGCCTCGACATATAGCCAAAAAAATGACTAGGCTCTATCTCCTTAATATCTTTCCATGCCTCTAAGTTTTTAAAATGACATTAAAATAAACCAACTGGACTACTCAGATGGCTAATGTTTTAATCATATTCTGGCTCAAAGAGAAAAAGGAAACCCATATCCTTCTTTGAACTTATCCTATCAACCTCAAACCCTAGTGAGCTCTCTTTTAAAAGCTCTTATTACTACTGGGCATGGTAGTGCACACCTGTAATCCAATCCCAGTACTCAGAAGGCTGATGCAGGAGGATCGCTGTGAGTACAACACCAGCCCGGGCTACATAGTACATTCTAGGCCAGCCTGGATTGTACAGCAAGACCCTGTCTTAAAACACCAAAAAAAACCTCTATTACTTATAATTCATACAATACCTGATCATCATTTCCTAAAGTTATTTCAAGTGTGTTCATATTAGTTTTTTAATACAACCATCTCAAGGATGAAGTTGTTAAGATATGATTTCTATCCCTCATTTCAGGGTAACCTTGCATAGGACTGGGTACACAATATTAATTATATAAATCTGTTGATTAACATATATGTATTATGTATGTATATACTGCAGATGAGAAGAGGCAAAGAGACTAAGTAAGACTTTCTGACTTTTCTATGGGTACCATCTAAGAGAAAGAAAACAGAGTAGGGAAAAGATTAGTTAATAGCTATAAAATAATACTTACAGTATTCTAAAACGCCAGCAACTCTTCTCATAGCCGTCCCTGAGCTGGGCAGATCTTCAGATAACCTTCTTAAGGAATAGTATCCTTTCTCAGTGACTACAAAGTATGGCTTTTGTGACAACTAGTTATATGATTCCACTCCTTCATACTAAATACTGAGTTGTCACCAAACACCAGTGACAGAAAATCTTTGAGAGCTTTCATTGACAAAAGAGGCTGTGACAAGTAAGTGTGTCATAAGCTCACCATCCTTGCCTTATACAATTAGAAGGTGAGTTGTTTTGGGGTTTTTTTTTTTTTACTATTACATTTGTTAAAGTTTATGCTTAGAAAAACGATTAGATCTTGGCTTATTTTTCTTATGCTATAAAATGGGGAAACAAGTCCCATCATTTTAAGGTAAATGTTCACTTTAGGTTGGTTCTTCAAACTACTTCAAATTAGTAGCAGAATTAAATGGTGCATTTTATTTAATAAAATGCATTTTATATAATCAAATGAGGTGGTCTATAATTTTCAAAAGCCTCTAACCATATGTTCTCTCATTTAATCCATTTATAGCAATCTTCTATTTTTTGGGGGGGATGGGATCAGGGATCAAATTCGGGTGCTTGCGCTTGCCAGGTACAACAATCTTCTTGAAGTAAGGGCTAATGCTCAAGATGAAGAAACTTAAGGATTAGAAGGTTTAGGTAATTTTCCTAAAAGCGAATCACGGTAAAGCCCAAAGAAAGATTGTTTCTTACATTATAGTACAGCTCAAACAAAGATTCCACTTAAGTTTCCACTCTAAAATTCCTTTGGTAACACAGTACTAAGGTAATAAGCCTCACAATGATCTATCCACATATCTACCACACTAAGTACAATGAGACACTAGTCACCAGGAATGTAATATAAATGGATATCTTGAGGGGCCTTCAAAAAGGCTAATGGCCAGGTGATCAATTCTACCTTTCATTCCAAATGTCTTTCTTTAAAAATAAAACAAGACCAATTTTTCTGGTTGTGGCCTGGCCACTGGCACTATACAACAGCAACACATAAAGGACTAGAGGCTAGATTCTTAACTAGGTAATATACTCTAAAAGGGAAAAAAACACATAAAGTGCTAATTTTCCTTCCTGCGGAGTCAGTTTTCAATTGATACCATTAACTGAAAACCACAACTAAAGGGTAGCAATCCAGCTCCTTCAGCCTCACTTGCTTTGAACATTTTGCACAATAACAGCAACAGAGGAGGGTTCTTGTCCTGGAAATGTGCCAGTAATTGGAACTGAGATAATTAACAAATGGAAGAAAAGGAGTGAAGGCTCACACACCCAGTTCAGCCTTGCTTTTGAAAATTAACACTGCACCAACACAACCAACTGATAGGGACTGATGGGATGCAAAATAGGACAATGTGTACTGTGTTCATTAATAACACACAAGGGGCTTTGGGTAACTGGCCACTACTCAGAAGCAGTGCAAAGGAAGTGGAGAACTCCCTGTCAAATGGGCAAGACCAAGGAAAGTACAACTGAGACATTACAGCCAGATAAAGTGGGTAAACCAATGACACGTGAGACTGTTAAATTAATAAGTCCAAGAGAAAGGTCTCTGCCCAGTCATTACCCAGCAAAGAGGTGAAAGGGGCAGGGCAGGGGGACAGGGAGTACAATCATATCTAATGGCCAGATTATGGACATTAATAGTCCCTAAGAAGGGACACAAGGCAGACAAAGGGCAGAGGAGAGGGAAAATCTTGTATAAATGTTAAGGCCTTGGCTACTTGGGATTTTATATACTGGACCAATGAAAAAGGTATGAAGTACGGGTCATTGTTTTATGCACAAGTACATGGCATGCTGCAATATTTGTACTTTATTAATGCCATGTGAAACTGGGGGAGGAGTAACTGTTCAATAGGATCCCCAAAGAAAAATAACCATTTATGATTGCACTGTACCTATTAACAGTCCCAAGATAATTTTAGGAGAAAAAAAGTAACATTAATAATTGCCATTGTGCTCATTAACAGTCCCAAGAGATGTTTTGGATGGTCAGTAGTAAAGCAAAGGGGGTATGAGGATATAGTATCCTAGATTGCAAATATTCACACTAACAATCCAAGGAATCTTAGTTGGTCAGCACTTCTGATGTATGCAGAGGGTGCAGGGTCCTATCTAATGATCAGCACTCAAGATAATTGTCATTGGTTATTGTGGTACACTAATTGTTCAAGAACAGAGGTTATAAATAGCTCAGCAGTGATCAAGAGGTAGTGATAGTAACAATGTCCTTTTTTTACTCCATAGGTCCACAAAGATAATTATGCATATCACCATTCATATAGAAGGCTCTTTCATCACCAACACACCCGATGCAACGGGGATATAAGGAGATGAAATTCTAGTCCAAAAAAAGGAGGGACAATTATATTAATGCACAATGAAGCCCAAAACAAAGGATACTAAATGAAAGCATTTCTGTGCTTTAAAGCAAAGAGGGTACAAGGGCTCTGATATAAGACATGCTTAGCAAATTTTATTTCTGTACATGAAGTTTCCAACTGAAAGAGTCTTGAGTGGTGGGCATTTTCTACTGAAAATATTAAGAAAATAGGTAGGATCTTTTTCTAGTGCACAAAACAGGAGCAAATGCAATTGTATATATTTACAGTCCAAAAGCAGAGGACTTTGGTTTGGTTATCAGCACTTTGCTATAGGCCAAATGAAATATGAGGGGGTATGACTTTAGTACCCCAGCAAAGACTAAAGAAAATTTCAATTATATATGTCCCCTGCAGTGATGCAGAGGTACAATGGTCCTAGAAGTAACAGTTGTGGGCAACTGTAATAATGTACATTACCTGTTCAAATGTAAAAGCCTTAAGCAGTGGGCACCACTTCTTAAAAAGTAGAAGTCAGAGATGAGGTATTCTTGTCTAGTGCACAAAAACTCAGACTAATGAAATTCTGCAAGTAATAAGGTCATGAAAACAAGGAACTAAGAAGTCAGAAACTTTGGTATGCAGTAAATGGAGGGCAAGAGGAAAGGACTAGTTAAATAGGATATACTATGTCCTGATAATATGTATTACTGTTCCAGAGACATAGCTATGGACAAATAAAACTACATACTTTGTACAAGTATAAGGATCTTAAAAGTAGAGGGCACTATCATTTAAAAAGTAAAGGGCGAGATGGATAGGGTGGTCTGATCTAGTAATGAAGAAGCCAAAAAAAGAGGCTTTATGGTTCAGCACTCCTGCTGTATTGCTAAGGGGGTTGAGAGTAAGATCTTACTTAAAAGGAATGAGACACATGCAGTTATGAACATTAATGTCCTAGATGCATGGTTGTAACCATTATATCTGTGCATCTGGACTACTTAAATGTAAAGGTATTATGGAGTGTTCATCTTGCTAGAAGGCAAAGCAAGTGGTCTAGAACACAGAAACCTAGACAAATATAATCATCAAGATAATGGGCCAAATAAGAATGGACAATTCTATTAACGAACCCCTGCTTTACTACAAAAGGGTCTAGAAAGTAGAATTTTGTTCAAGTGAGACTAGCCATGTGCAAATATGCACATTACTGTCCAAGGTGTATGGCTGTGGTCATTACAATTGTGCACTGTAACAGTTTACATATAATGTTCCTAAAGAGTACTTATCTCTGCTAAAAGAAGTTGGAGGAGGGAGATCAGGGCAGAGGTTTCCTCATATAGTACACAACAACCTGGACAAGTATAAAGGCCTAAATAATAAGCAAGGAATATGGGCATTAGTGATCAACATCCCTGCTGTATTGCAAAAGGGCCTGCCTAATGGTAGCATTTTACTCAAATGAGATGAATCGGTGCTGTTATGCACATTAGTATTGAAGGTTCATTACTGGAACCATTATAATTGGCCACTTTTACTGTTCAAGTATAAGAGTCTTAATGAGGTAGGCCGTCCCTCCTGGAAGGCAAAAGAAGGGTGGGAGAGGGCAGGGCAGGGCTGAGGAGTTCCACGTATAGTAATATACAGGAATTCAAACAAACATAAATGCCCATATAACAGGCCAATAGGAGTCTTAATAATCAGTATCCCTGTTTTACTGCAGAGGGGGCTGAGAGTAGGATCTTATTCAAATGGGATGAACCCTGTGCAGTTACACACATAAGTATTTAAGGTTTATGATTCTAGTCACTCATTATAATTGTGCACCTTGACTGTTCAAGTGTAAGAGTCTTATAGAGTGGGCTAGAAAGGAAAGGAAAACGGATGGAGGAAAATAGGGAAGAACTTGGAGGAGAGGGTTAGGTCTTTGTCTACTACACACAGAAACTCAAACATAATCACCCACATAACAGTCTGAAAATAGGAGCATTAGTGATCAGTGTGCCTGCTGTATGGAAAAAGGGATTGAGAGAAGGATCATATTCAAATGGGGTAAAGCATGTACAGTTAAGTACATTAGTATTCTAGGTATACAGTTGTGATCATTACAATTGTGCACCTTTACTATTCAAATGTAAGGGTCTTATGGAGTAGGCAGTTCCTGTTGGAAGGGAAAAGAAGTTGGAAAGGGGAGGCAAAGATTCATTGTTTAGTACACAGGAACTGAGACAAATATAATCATGCATATATATAGCAGGCCAAGATTAGAGGCCTTTAGTAATCAGCACCCTTGCTATATCAAAAGAGGCTGAGAGTAGGATCTTATTCAATTGGGATGAAGTGTAAGTATTCAAGTATTTAAGGTGCATGGTTGTGGTCATTACAATTATACATCTTGACTGTTCAATTGTAGGCGTCTTTAGGGAAGAGAAAGAAGTTGGAAGTGGGGAGAGCAAAGCAGGGTTGGGGAGGAAGATTCCTTGTGTGATACACAGGAATTCAAACATAATCACCCATATAATAAATAGGCCAAGATTAGTAGCCTTAGTAATCAGTTGGTACCCCTGCTATATTCCAAAGGAGCTGAGTGTGAGATCTTATTAAAATGAGACAAACTATGTACAGTTATGCACATTAGAATTCCTGCAATGACTTTGGACATTATAATTGTGCACATTGACTAGTGAAGTATAAGGGTCTTATGGAATAGGCAGTCCCTGATAAAGGGAAAGGAAGTTGGTTGAGGGAAGGCAGGGCAGGATTGGGAAGGTTCCTGTCTAATGCACAGGAACTAGGAAAAATATAATTACTGACATAACAGAACAAGAATAAGGGTCATGGTAATCAGCACACCTGCTACAGGGCAAAAGGGGACCGAGAATAGAATCTCATTCAAATGAGATGAGCCACATGTAGTCATGCACATTAGTATTCAAGGTGAATGATTTGGTCATTACAATTGTACACCTTGACTGGTCAAGAGTCTTATAAATAAAGTAGGGAGTCCTTGTTGGAAAGAAATGGAAGTGCAAAAGGGGAGGGTAGCGTACTGTTACGGGGGAGGTCTACTACACAGAAACTGAGACTGACCCAATCACTCATATAACAGGCCAAGATTAGGGCCTTATAATCATCAACCCTCCTATATGGCTCAAAAGGAGGTGGTAGTAGGATCTTATTCAAATGAGATGAGCCATGTGCATTTATGCGCATTAGTATTCCAGGTGCATGGTTTTGATCATTACAATAGTGCATGCACCCTGACTGGTCAACTGTAAGAGTCTTTGGAGTACATAGTCCCAGCTGGAAGGTTAAAAAAAGATAGGTAGGAAAGGAGGGATTCCTTGTCCAGTAAAAAGTAATTTAGACAAAATAATTATCCATGTTAACAGGCCAAGATTAGGGCCTTAGTGATCAGTATGCCTACTGTACTGAAAAGGAGGCTGAGAGTAGGATGTTATTCCAATGAGATAAGCTACCTGCACTTCTGCACATTAGTATTCAAGGTGCGTGATTTTGGTCATTACACTTGTGCGCCTTGACTGAGCAAGCAGTTCCCGTTGGAAGGGAAAGCAAGTTGGAGGAAAGGTTCCTTGTTTAGTACAGAGGAACTCAGACAAAATCACCCACATAATAGGCCAAGATTAGGGCCTTGGTAATCAGTACCCATGCTGTACTGCAAAAGTTATGACAGTAAGGTCTTATTACAATGAAATGAGTCATGTGCAGTTATGCACAGTAGTAGTCAAGATGCAGGGTTTTGGTCATTACACCTGTGCACCTTGACAGGTCAAGTGTAAAGGGTCTTGTGAGTGGGCAGTCTCTGCTACAAGGGAAGGGAAGTTAGATGAGATACAGAAGGACAGGGTTTGGTGGGGGGCGGTTCCTTGTCTAGTACTTAGGAACTCAGACAAAATCACCCATATAATAAGCTAAGATTAGGGCCCTGGTGATCAGTACCCCTGCTATAAAGCAAGAGTTCTGGCAGTTGAATCTAATTCCAATTAGATGAGCTATGTACAGTTATGTACATTATTATTCAACTTGCATAGTTTTGGTCATTACAGTTGTGCACTTTGACAGGGCAAGTATTAGGGTCTTACGAATGGGCAGTCCCTGATGGAAGAACAGGAAGATGGACAGGGGAAGGCAGGGCCAGGTTAGGGGTTGCAAAGGTTCCCTGTTTAGTACACAGGAACTCACACAAACACAACCACCCATATAACAGGCCAATATTAGGGCCTTAGTAGTAAGTACCCCTGCTGTACTGCAAAGGGGGCTGAGAATAGGATCTTATACCAATGAAGTGCCTCATGCAGTTATGCACATTAGTATTCAAGATGCATGGTTTTAGTTATTACAGTTATGCACCTTGATGGGTCAAGTATAAGTGGATTATATGTGGGCAATCTGAAGGGAAAAGATGGGAAGGGGAGGGCAGGGCAGTTAGGGAATAGGAAGTTCCGTGGCTAATATACAGGAACTCAAATAAACATAGCCACCTGTATAATAGGATAAGATAAGGCCCTTTTTTATCAGCAACCCTGCTGTACTGCAAAAGGGTCTGAGAACAGGACCTTATTCCAATGAGATGAGCCATGTGCAGTCACATACCTTTGTATTCAAGGTGCATAGTTTGGTCACTACAGTTGTGCACCTTGATGGATCAGATACAAGGGTATTATGAGTGGGCAGTCCCTGTTGGAAGGGAAAGGAAGATAGACAGGGGAGGGGAGGGCAGGGCAGGGTTGGGGAGGGGGAAGGTTCCTTGATTAATACACAGGAACTCACACAAACATAATTACCCATATAACTGGCCACGATTAGAGGTTTGGTGAACAGTATTGCTGCTGTCCTGCAAAAGGGACTGAGAGTAGGATCTTATTCCAGTGATGAGCCATGTGCAGTTATGCACATCAGTATTCAAGATGCGTGCTTTTGTCATTATAATTATGCACCTTGATGGGTCCAGTGTGGCTTATGTGTGGGTAGCCCCTGAAGATAAGTAAGGAAGTGTAAGGCAGGGTTAGGGAATGGAGGGTTCCTGGTCTAGTACACAAGAACTCATAAAAACAGTCACCCATATAACTGGCCAAGATTAGGAGCCTTCATTATCAGTACCCCTGCTGTACTGCAAAAGGAGCTGAGAATAGGATCTTATTCCAAAGAAATGAGCCATGTGCAGTCATGCACCATTGTATTCAAGGTGCGTGGTTTGTTCATTACAATTGTGCACCTTGATGGGTCATGGCAAGGGTCTTATAAGTGGGCAGTCCCTGTTGGAAGGGAAAGGAAGATGGATAGGGGAGGGCAGAGCAAGGTTGAGGAGTTGCAAGATTCCTTGTCTAGTACACAGGAACTCGGGCAAACACAATCATGTAATATAAAAGGCCAGGATAAGAGGCCCTCATGATCAGCAACTCTGCAATACTGCAAATGTTCTTACAGTAGGCTTTTACTCCAATGAGTTGAACCATATGCAGTCATGCACGTTAGTATTCAAGGTGCATGGTTTTGGTCATTACACTTGTGTACCTTGACAGACCACATGTAAAGGTCTTATGAGTGGGCAGTTCCTGTCAGAAAGGAAAGGAAGATGGATAAGGGAGGACAAGGCAGGGTTACAAAGTATGAAGGGTCTTTGTCTAATACTCAGAAAAACATAATCAGGCATACAATAGGCCAGGATTAGAGGCCTTCATGACCAGTACCCCTGCTGTACCGCAAAAGGGGCTGAGTAGGATCTTATTCCAAGAGATGAGCCACATGCAGTTATGGACATTAGTATTCAAGGTGCATGTTTTTGCTTACTACAATTGCGCATCTTAATAGATTCAAGTGTAAAGGTCTTTGGAAGGAAAAGAAAGATGAATAGGGGAAGCAGGGTTGAGTCAGGGAGTGGTTAGGTTCCTTGAGTACAGGAATTCAGAAAACCAGTCAATCATATAATAGACCAAAATTAGGGCCTTAGTGATAAGTACCCCTGCTGTACTGCAAAAGGGGCTGGGAATAGGATCTTATTCCAATGAGATGAGCCATGTGCAGTCATGTAGCTTTATAGTCAATGTGCACAGTTTTGGTCATTACAATTGTGCACCTTGATGGGTCATATGTAAGGATCTTATTAGTTGACAGCCCCTGTTGGAAGGGAAAAGAAGTTAGATAAAAGAAGGCAGGGTAGGTTTGCAGTTACAAAGGTTCCTTGTCTAGTACACAGAAACTCGCAAACATAATCACTCATATAAAAGGCCAGGATTACAGGCCTTTATGATCAGCAACCCTGCTGTACTGCAGCATTTCTGACAGTAGGATTTTACCCCAATGTGATGAGCCATGTGCAATCACGCACACTAGTATTCAAGGTGCATGGTTTTGGTCATTACACTTGTACACCTTGACGGGTCATGTGTAAGGGTCTTATGAGTGGGCAGTTTCTTTTAGAAAGGAAATGAAGATGGATAGGTAAGGACAAGGCAGGTTGGGAGGTATAAAGGGTCCTTGTCTAGTATATAGAACTCAGAAAAATAGAACTGTCCATATGGCAGGCCAGGATTAGAGGCCTTCATGATCAGTACCCCTACTGTACTGAGAAAGTTCTGACAGTAGGTTCTTATTCCACTAAGATGAGCCATGTGCAGTTATGCACATTAATATTCAAGGTAGAGTTATGATCATTGCAACTGTACATATCTTGATGCATCAAGGGTAAGGGGCTTATGTGTGGGCAGTCCTCATTGGAAGGGAAAGGAATATGGATGGGACAGCAGGACAGAGTTACGGGGTAGACAGGAAAGCTCTTTGACTAGTACACAGGAACGCAGACAAACACAGCCACGTATATGATAGGCCAAGATTAGGGCCTTAGTGATCAGTACTCCTGATGTATGTACTGCAAAAGGGGCTGAAAACAGGATCTTATTCCAATGAGATGAGCTACGTACAATCCTGCACCTTTGTATTCAAGGTGCATGGTTTTGGTCCTTACAGCTGTGCACCTTCATGGGTCGTGTCTAAGGATCTTTTATGAGTGGGCAGTCCCTGTTGGAAGGGAAAGGTAGATGGATAGGGGAGGACAGGGCACAGTTGGGGAGAAGGTTCCCAGTCTAGTACACAGTGTCTCACACAAACACAGTCACCCAGGTAACAGGCCAAGATTAGGGCCCTTTGTGATCAGTACTACTGTTGTATTGCAAAGTTCTGACAGAATAATCTTTTTTCTATTAGATGAGATGTATACTTATGCAAATTATAATTCAAAGTACAAGGTTTTGGTCATTACAGTTGTGCACCTTGATGCAAATTATAATTCAAGGTACAAGGTTTTGGTCATTACAGTTGTGGACCTTGATGCAAATTATAATTCAAGGTACAACGTTTTTGGTCATCACAGTTGTGCACCTTGATGCAAACTATAATTCAAGGTACAAGGTTTTGGTCATCACAGTTGTGCACCTTAATGCAAATTATAATTCAAGGTACAAGGTTTTTGGTCATCACAGTTGTGCACCTTGATGCAAACTATAATTCAAGGTACAAGGTTTTGGTCATTACAGTTGTGCACCTTGATGCAAATTATAATTCAAGGTACAAGATTTTTGGTCATCACAGTTGTGCACCTTGATGCAAATTATAATTCAAGGTACGAGGTTTTGGTCATCACAGTTGTGCACCTTGATGCAAATTATAATTCAAGGTACAAGGTTTTGGTTATTACAGTTGTGCACCTTGATGCAAATTATAATTCAAGGTACAAGATTTTTGGTCATCACAGTTGTGCACCTTGATGCAAATTATAATTCAAGGTAC